CTGCTTACATTCATAGGGCTTCTCTCCAGTATGAGTTCGTTCATGTATCTGAAGGCCAGAGGCAGTAGTGAAGACTTTTCCACATTGTTGACATTTAGAGCATTTCTCTCTAGTATGTCTTCTTCCATGAATATGAAGGTAACTAGATGTAGAAAAGGCTTTTCCACACTGCTCACACTTATAGGGCTTCTCCCCAGTATGAGTTTTTTCATGTGACTGAAGGTAACGGAATGTAGCAAAGGCTTTGCCACACTGCTTACATGCATAGGGCTTTTCTGAAGTATGCAGTCTTCCATGAATGTAAAGAGAACTGGATCTAGAAAAGGCTTTGCCACACTGCTTACATGCATAGGGCTTCTCTCCAGTATGAGTTTTTACATGTGAGTGAAGGCTAGAGGACTGAGTGAAGGCTTTCCCACACTGCTTACATTCATATGGCTTCTCTCCAGTATGAGTTCGTTCATGTATCTGAAGGCCAGTGGAAGAAGTAAGGGCTATTCCACATTGTTGACATTCATAGGGCTTTTCTCTGGTATGTATTCTTCCATGTTTATGAAGCTGATGAGATGTAGCAAAGGCTTTGCCACACTGCTCACATTTATATGGCTTCTCCCCAGTATGAGTTTTTTCATGTGACTGAAGGTAACTGAATATAGCAAAGGCTTTGCCACACTGCATACATTTATGGGGCTTCTCTCCAATATGTGTTCTTCCATGTTTGTGAAGGTAACTGGACGTAGCAAAGGCTTTGCCACACTGCTTACAATCATAGGGCTTTGCTCCAGTATGAGTTTTTTCATGTGAGTAAAAGTGAGAGGACTGAGTGAAGGCTTTACCACACTGTTTACATTCATAGGGCTTCTCTCCACTATGAGTTCGTTCATGTATCTGAAGGCCAGAGGAAGTAGTGAAGACTTTTCCACATTGTTGACATTCAGAGCATTTCTCTCTAGTATGTCTTCTTCCATGAATATGAAGGTGACTAGATGTAGAAAAGGCTTTTCCACACTGCTCACATTTATATGGCTTCTCCCCAGTATGAGTTTTTTCATGTGACTGAAGGTAACTGAATATAGCAAAGGCTTTGCCACACTGCTTACATTTATGGGGCTTCTCTCCAGTATGTGTTCTTCCATGTCTGTGAAGGTAACTGGATGTGGCAAAGGCTTTGCCACACTGCTTACATGCATAGGGCTTCTCTCCAGTATGAGTTTGTTCATGTGAGTGAAGGCCAGAGGACTGAGTGAAGGCTTTCCCACACTGCTTACATTCATAGGGCTTCTCTCCAGTATGAGTTCGTTCATGTATCTGAAGGCCAAAGGCAGTAGTAAGGGCTTTTCCACATTGTTGACATTCATAGGGCTTTTTTATTGTATGTATTCTTCGATGTTTATGAAGCTGATGAGATGTAGCAAAGGCTTTGCCACACTGCTTACACTCATAAAGCTTCTCTCCGATATGTGTTCTCCCATGAATCTGAAGGTTATGGGATGTAGCAAAGGCTTTCCCACACTGCTTACATTCATAGAGGTTCTCTCCAATATGTGTTCTGTGAAGTATTCTAAGTGAACTGGGATAAGCAAAATCTTTCCCACATACCTTACATTTGAAAGGTACATTCCCCGTGTGTGTGATCCTGTGCCTTTGAAGACTTGTGTGTGAAATAAAGGTTTGACCACCTTCTTTACATTGATAGAGTTTCTTTCCAGAATGAATTTTTTCATGTTTTCTAAATAAAGAGGAGAAATGAAAGGCTTCCCCACATACCTCACATTGAAAATGTTTACCTCCTCTGTGTGTTCTCATCTGTCTTTGAACATCTGGGAGAGAAGAAGAGGCTCCAGCACATTTTTGATATTCATAGGGTTGCCACCCAGTATGAGTATCTTCATGCCTTTGAATGTAACTGGAACAACTGGAGACTTTCCCACATACTGTACGTTCATAGGGTCCCTCTCCAGTTTGTATTAACATTTGTGTGTGAACACTTTTGAGCAAAACCAGGGATTGCCTGTACTGTTTAAATTCGCATGGCTTGTCTTCACATTCATCATGCTTGTGGCATTTGTGTCCAGAGTGAGATGTGATGTGCCTATGAAGGAATGAAGGGCATATGAGTCTTTGGCACACATATGACAACCTCATGGACTTACTCTATTAAATTTTTTTTTTTGTTCAGTTAAGAACTGGAATCTCATTCAAAGTTTCTCCACACTATCTCCTTGGCCTTTTAAGTTTACTATATGGCTTCTTCGAAGAATGTCAGCACATTATCAATGCTGGATTCATTCATGATTCTATACTGATTTATAGGTCCCAGGCTTACAATACTACCAACATCAGGTAAAGGCTAGGTTTTCTGATTTGTTCAAATTTCTTGAAAACCAAGAGATTGAAAGGAAACATTCCTTTGCAATGCAGCCTCTCTATTGAGATTATCCAAGTAGTGATATTCACATTCAATTACATATACTTTATGCATGCCCAGTACTTTGAAAAAACTGAATATCTGTCACACCTAAGTATATATTTCTGGTGGAAAAATCCTTTAAGAATAAATACATTTCAAATTGTGTATACTTCTTGGGTTGGTCTGTTTTACAAATTATATGACCTTCTCAGATTCTCTCAAGAACTTCTTTTGTGAGTACAATTACCTTAGAATGCTCTCAGAATTTTTTATCTCATATTCAATTTTCTTTTCATCGCATTTGTTTCCTAAAATGAGAAACCAGAACAATCTTTATAAATTTTTAAGAGACAGGATGCTTTGCCAAATCGTAGGTGCCTTTTATGCTCCAATAATTTAACAACTGATTCCCTTTTCATGTTCTATATAAATGACCAAAATAAACATGAGTTCTCCAGTAGATTTTGAAAAAGAATACATCATTATTACCTATAAAAGCCAGGTTTCTGAGGACTTCCAACATCACATCTCTGTAAAGGTTCTTCTGGGAAGAATCCAGCAAAGCCCACTCCTCCTGGGTGAAGTTCACAGCCACATCCTCAAAGGTCACTGAGATCTAAAATATCCCACAAATGTATACTGGAGGTCAGGAGAGATTGACAGCAGAAGAAATGTATAGTCAACATGCTTGATGTCCACATGAATCTCTGAGTCCCTGATTAATTGTATCATGTGGTCCATCAAATGCTTCCTGAACTCAAATCCTCACAGACATTCCAACACTAGAATTGGGCCACTCAAAAGACAAGCAACTTAATGTTTTACTCCCTTCCTTTGTTGAGTTCACAGAAAGTAAGACAGGATCCTGGGTCACACCAAACTTTTTTCTTCATTGCACTCCTATTACAATCCTAACAACTTTCTGTGCAGTGCAGAGGTAATATTAGCAACTCTGATAGTACTTACCCTTAAAAAAGAAAGCTTACTGAGAAGAAAATTGCTGGAATAACAAAACTCAGCCTTTAAGAGAGATTCTGCCAACCACAGTGGCTCACTGTGCCTACAAAGTTAATATAAACAACATGGCATTGACTGATCTCTTGATTCCTTCTCAAAGTCTATTGTCCCATCTTTAAAGAAATGTCTAGAACACCCCACCCTCAACTTCCAAAAATGGATCACTAAGAAGCTTCCCCTACAGACTACATTTAGACAACTTTTCACTCAGGTTGTCACAATTTGTGAACTGGGGATTGAGTTCATCTTTTGTGATTACCCCAACAGAACAACTAACTATATGTTTACGCATCCTATTCTCCAGAAAAAAAAATAGTCAAATAGTAAACAAGCACCATGATTAATAAACACAAAAATTTGATGATTTCTCATGATTACTGTCAATGCAGAATGTATTAAGATGAAAAGTTGGAACATGACTTAGATATAAGTCAATGACCCAAAAATGTCACCTTATCCAAACAAGAACCTTGCAAAGTTTTATAATTCTCAACACAATTTTATTAATGAACAATTAATGAACACTATTTTCTAAATCTCATAGCAGCAATGAATGTACATCAACTATAAAACTCTAGTGAAAAGCAGTCACTTCACTACTATAAGTTCATGTGGCCCATAGCCATGTTCTGCTCAAGACACTTCTATCAAGATTGGGCCACTGGGGCTGGGGATGTGGCTCAAGCGGTAGCGCGCTCGCCTGGCACGCGTGCGGCCCGGGTTCGATCCTCAGCACCACATACCAACAAAGATGTTGTGTCCGCCGAGAACTAAAAAATAAATATTAAA